TCCCCTCACCATGAGCTCTGGGTAATGACTGAAAAGACGAGATCGCCGATACAAGCTCGGAGTAGAGTAGAGCCGCTGCTCCTCCACGTCGAGAGGAGCAACAGCATCTGTTCCGGATGCCCTCCCCTTTTGCCTCTTCAAAAACCAAATGGTGTCTAACCTGGGGCATGGGGGAATCTCAAAACAGTGAACTCTTGAACTCTGTCACCACTGTCCCATAAATAACTTCACACAAACATGTTCTGTACAGTTTCACAGTTTTAAGATTCCCTGAAACTTCCATTTTCCTTCATTTGAGCCACACTGATAGATCTAAAATCCATCTCCAGAGAACCAGCCTCACTGTCCAAAAATTTGTAACATCTGTACAAAAGTATAACATTTTTTGTGTATTTTGGCAAAATTTAGGAAAAGTCTTCAAGTTTCAGGATAAAAGAATGATGCTTAGAGTATTTTTACCACTTAATTTTTTTTTTTTTTTTTTTCGGTAAATCCACTTGTTGCCGGACACTAAATCAGGTCTAAAACCAGGTCTAAACTAGGTCTAAAACTAGGTCTAAACTAGGACTAAACCAAGACTAAACCAAGACTAAACCAGGACTAAACTAAGACTAAACCAGGACTAAAACCAGGGCTAAAACCAGGGCTAAACTATGTCTCAAACCGGATTTAACAGGACTAAATCATGCTGTGCGGATCGTGTCTCCTCCTCTTTTATCAATCATATTTTTAATACGGTTAAGTAAAGTCTGGGCTTTTTTATTGTCTTTTAGCAGACAAAACATCTTATGTGAACAACAAGTCTTTGCTACTTTACAGCAAACCAAGTAATCGAAAGTATTCAGATTACGTTACTCACTTTAAGTAATTTAATTTATTCTGTTACAAACTACATTTTGGGGTATGTAATCTGTAATCTGTAGGGGATTACATTTTAAAAGTAAACTTCCCAACACTGTTAAAGATGCACTGTAACTTTTTGGCTGTGGGTCCATCACCTGCTTGTTTCTATGGAAATGTCACTGCTGTGCCTGGAATGTTCCACAGTGTGACATTAAACAGCTCTACTTTACATTTATTCAACTACAGGTGGTTTTATAGCTCAAAAACACCTAAAAAAAAATCACAAAACAAAACAAAACAGACTTTCTGACTGAGCGGATTTGACCTGTAACCTGGCCTGTTTTGATGTCCATGAAGATAAAAAACGTTTAACTGAAATCCAGATAAAGCAATAACATCTCCATTGAGTGAAGAATTTGATAATAGATAACAGAAAAGTTACGTAATGCGCCTTTAAACATTTACAGTATCTTACATAAGACCTGATCTTGAGCCAAATGAAAGATCAACTGCCCCGCCCATAAAAACAAACGTGTTCATGTGTGTGTCACTGACTATTATTTTAACCTTATCATATTCTTATAGAGCCATGACGTCCTGCTGTGACGAAGAGAGAAGAAAACGGAAAATATTAGTTGGATTGGACCTGCATCAAGAGCACCTCAGTGTAACAATATAAACAAAACTATCTGTGGTGCACTTCGTCACTGTACATGTTACATAAAAGAGCCCATGTTACTATTTTGTTGAGCTGTGTCATAAAGTTCCTCATCACAAATTAGACCTGGAGTTGTGTTTAATCCGTGTGTCATTCGTTCATTCGTTTTTCAATATAAAACCAAAAGTAAGAAAACGAAAAATCAACAGTTTTCTTCATTATTTGTCTCCAAAACTAAAATGAAAAAACAGATAACGATTCGTTTTTTGTGTGTTTAAATGAATAATGGATAAAACTGATATTACGTGACTTCCGTGACTGCAATGCCGGACTTTTGCGCCGAATATGATCTGAACCAGGACTGAACCAGGTCCGGGACCAGAGAGCAGGACCAGAGCAGGACTCTGAGCTTTGACTCCGAGCCTCCGCGTGGTTCAAGCCTCAGCTTCGAGCTCCGGCCCTGCAGTGGGCTCTGAGCCTCTGGTCTGGTCCCACTGTGGTCTCAGTCTGGTCCCGGTCTGGTCTCAGTCTGGTCCCGGTCTGGTCTCAGTCTGGTCCCGGTCTGGTCTCAGTCTCGGTCTGGTCCTGGTCTCAGTCCTGATCTCAGTCTCGGTCTGGTCTTGGTCTCAGTCCCGCTCTGGTGCCGGTCTGGTCCCGGTCTGGTCCCGGTCTGGTCTCAGCCCGGGTCTGGTTCCGGTCTGGTCCCGGACCTGGATCAGTCCTGGTTCAGTCCGACATCGCAGTTTAAGTCACGTAAACGGGAAACGGTCATTATCTGTTTTTTTTTTCCATTTTTCATTTAAACACAAAATAAAAAAATGAAAAAATGAATCATTATCTGTTTTTTCATTTTAGTTTTGGAGACAAATAATGAAGAAAACTGTTGTTTTTTTCGTTTTCTTATTTTTGGTTTTATATTGAAAAACGAATGAACGAACGATACACGGATTAAACACGAGTTCTTCTCTCAAACAAAAAACACTCTGCTTCACCTTGTGATGTCATGTGCCACTGCGATTTTAAACTTCATAAACCTTTAGAATCACTTTGATCCGAATGATTCTAGTGCAGGTATATGGAGTTTTAAAACACAGTGGAGCACATCCCGTATTAACACATTTAAACCTGTTGCCCCTCGTCTCTGGAGCCAATCGTCTCTTTGCTTTCGTTCTTTGGACTTTACCTTAAAAAAACAGACCTGAAGAACATTTTACTCTTGATATAGTGACTGTATTTCTGCTGCACACTTTGATGACATGTTTACTGCAAAGAACTGTGTGACTTCCAGAGAAAATACTCCAAGAGGAAATACTTTGAGGAAATGGACCATATCATCACCAACCAAAACACCAGAGTGGAGTAAGAACAAGGGGGACGACACTTTTGGCTCTTCCTCTCCTCAAACTGCTCTGACACAAATCTGCTGCAGAGACCTTTGACTGAGCTGGGTCCCCTTGCCACAGATCTGACCTGTAACGTGTCTGGTTTGGTCTCCGTGTGGATAAAAGTTTCTCACAGTAAGACTCATAAAACTTGATCTTGAGCCAGTTGAAAACTCATGTATTGCACACAGGCTTAACCATTGTCACTGTCCCACCCATAAAAACAAACACATAGCTCCTGTCCACTCATGTGTTCATGCCTGAATCACTGACTATTATTTTAACCTTATCATATTGTTATTGAAATGTCGTAAACACATGACATCCTGCTTTGACGAAGAGAGATGACTGCACTGAGGGTTGCGTGGAGGGTTTCATCCCAAATCCAGCCCCCCGAGACTGTGCGCGAGCCGGAAGGAAGGGGGCCGAGGACGAGTGACTGTGGGAACCACTGCCCAGGCTCCATGAGAACATCAAGGACAAGGCCCCGACAGATGAGGAGCTCAGAGAATGTCTCAGACAGTGGGGTCCAGAGGAAGAGGAGCTGGAGGGACCATCATGGCAGGAAGAGACCCTGCACGGAACCACCGGAACAGAACTGAAGTGGCTGATATAAAAAAAAAAACTACTTATGTCTTGTGAGGGCTGGTCTGAAGGACACACAGAGGCTCATCCTGGCTGCACAGGAGCAGACCCTGAACACCTGAGCAACAGAGGCCCAGCTCTACCAGACAAGACAAGAGCCACGGTGTAGACTGCAAAGACTCTCCTGAGACAGTCCAGCACAGAACTACAGGTGTAAGATGCTGCAGGGAAACAAACATGGAGCCGACAGAACCAAGTGGCGGGCAAAGTGTACAGAAACATGTGTGCAGAGTACAAGCTGGAGACCCCAGGATCAAGGTGGGAAACACCTCCAAAGGTTGTGGAGAACAACGGAGACAAGATCCTGTGGGACTTCCAGATACAGACTGACAGGACGGTGATGGACCAACCAGACATAGTGGTGGTGGATAAGAAACAGAGCAGAGCCGTGGTGGTGGATGTCACAATATCAAGAGATGGTAATATCAAGAAAAAGGAACACGAGAAACTAGAGAAATACCAGGGGCTCAAGGAGGAGCTGGAGAAGGTTTGGGAGATGAAGGCGTCAGTGGAGCCTGTGGTGATCGGACACTCAGGGCTGTAACCCCCAAACTGGAAGAGACTACAGCAGATACCGGGAAAAACATCAGACATCTCAGTCCAGAAAAGTGCAGTACTGGGAACAGTAAAGATACTGCGCAGAACTCTTAAGCTCCCAGGCCTCTGGTAGACGACCCGAGCTGGATGAGAGGGAGAGACCAACCACTGTGGACATAGATAGATATTTATAGACATAGATATAGATAGATACAGAAGTCCCACAGTCCAGAACCAACCAGACATAGTGGTGGTGGATAAGCAACAGAGCAGAGCCGTGGGGGTGGACGCTGCAAAAACAAGCGATGGTAATATCAGGAAAAAAATATGTGGGGGTTACAGCGGGGGAGTGGTTTAGCAGATCCCAGGAAAAACATATATAATATAGCCATACAAGAATTATTTTTAATGAAAAGTAAGACCTATATAATACTGGGAAACTGTAGAACGTGTGGAATGCTTTGAAACATTTTTCAAAGAAACGTGTGATGTATTTGTAATAACAAATACATCATTCAACAAGTATGTGATAATTATCTAGCGGAAGGTATTAAAAACAAGTTCATTGTTCTGTGTGACATTAATGAAGGGTGTGGTGCATTCTCCACAACAACGGGTCCTCCCCAGTCACATACAATTAGTATAGTTAAATATATATTTAATGAAAAGTAAGACTTATATAATATTGGCGAACTGTGGAACATGTGGAAAGATGTGAAACATTTTCCAAACATGTATGATCTATTTGTAATATGAAATATCAAGTATGTAGTCTTGTTCCAGTGTAGAGGTGGAAAAACAGGTGTGACGCTAGAAAAGGGTGTGGAGCATTGTCCAAAAATCAAGTCAATGATCCGTCAGAGCAACGGTTCCTCCCCAATCACATCCTTTTAAAAGGAGTCAGACTGAAGCAGCATCCATCAGAAAACTCACAGCTCCAGGAGTATTCGACAGGTGAACGACACGAGACTGAAGCCACACCTGAAGACATGAAGACTGCACTCAAGATGCTCCTGTCCTTGGCCTTAACTGTGGCTCTGTCCATCAACACAGGTAAAATCTAATAATCTATAGTCCTGAATTGGTCCTGGACAAGTCCTAGTTTAATCCTGTTTCAGACCTGTTTTAGTCCTGGTCTAACCTGGTCTTGTCTTTGCAGCTGCTGGACTCTCTTGCCTTACTTGTACAAACCAAACCGACTTGAACTGTGCGTCTACAGTTTCTGTTGCCTGCATCAACGGAGAAACCCTGTGTGTCTCTGCCATCATTACAGGTACATGTTCAAAGTTGAACAGTGACAGTTCACACAGTAGAAGCTGTTTTGTACAAACACAGAGTAAACCTGCCTCTAATTATGAATATATTTCTGATATTTTCACAGCGACCTCATCCGGCGGTTCGTCCACTCAGAAAATAAAGGGCTGTGCTAACCCCAATATCTGTCCAGCTTCAGGGCCCCAGGACTTTTCACTGAACGTCGGTTCTGCTAGTGTTCTGGCCAGAGCTGTATGTTGTAATAATGCAAACAACTGTAACTCTGGTACCCCTTCCAGTGAGTGACAGATTAAGAGACCAGTGCTTTGTTCGCAGCATTGTCCAGACTTTAATAGATTGTTGTGTCTCCTGTGTCAGCTCCGGTGCCCACTGCTGGCTCTCTGCAGTGCTACAGGTGTAACCCATTGACAGGTCCATGCAACACACCAGTAACGTGTAACTCTCTGGAGACCAGCTGCTTCTCATCCACAGGTGAGTTCTACACAGGAGCTGGATCCTGGGTCCAGAGCTGGACACCTGCAGACACATTTGCCATAGTAACAGTGTCATGTGTTTTGTTTGCAGTGATTCCTTCAGGTAGCTCCACCTCAATCCCAGCTCATGGATGTGCCTCTGGTAATCTGTGTCTGTTGTCTGCTGCTTATTTATCCTCCTCCCCTCTGGTGGCGAGCATCGGCTCTGTCCAAGGAAACCCCACCTGCTGCAGCACAACTAACTGCAACACCCTGACTACTACTGCAGTACCAACTACTACTACTACTACTACTACTACTACTACTACTACTACTACATCACCAACTACTACTACTACTACTGCCTCCTCAGCTGCGTCTTTGGTGAGATTGAGCTTGGTCCATTTTCTTCTGGGACTCATCCTGATGCTTCTGTTTTAACTGAAACACAAATGTGTTGAAGTTGTTGTGTTTTACAGTTTGTATTATTCTTTACACATGTATTTAAGAAACTTATAAATCTGACTATTAATTCTGTGTAAATTGTATTCACACCTTTTGATGTTCAGACGTGAGTTTCAGATCTTGTTTATTATTCCACATGTTAAAAAACACTTTTCAGTGAAGTCTCAGAGACGCCTCTGAGTCTGAGATAAAAAAGTATTCGTGTTATTTATTCTTCTGTATTGCTTCATATTTGTACATGTGATAATAAATATTTATTTCAACAAAGAATTTCACTTTTATATCACAGCTGAATTGCTGATAGGTCAACAACACTGACCTGACTCTCACTAGATTAATGTGTGATCCTCTGTGTTTAGTTCTGCTCATCAAACTGGAACGACTTTGGCTGAAACTGAATGGAACTAATGATCACAAAAGAGAAACCAGATGAGAAATCAAACTTTTGTTACTTACAGCTAAGAGAGAAATACTTTATTGATCTACAAAGTAATTCAAGTTTTGCTGCAACAACATTTCCACTGCTCTTGTCAGTGGCCTTTTTGTCGGTTCTAAAGTCCCTTTGTGACTTTAGAACCGCGCCCAAGCTCAGATTGCCCCTAAAGTTTTGGTACGTTTGTCCAGTGTGAGCGCAATCGAACTGTGCTCAGGTGCGGCACGATTGGGACTTTTGCCCAGTTGGAGGATGTGGACCAAAGCTCGGCACGGTTGCTCACGTACAGGCACACGCACGACTTTACTATACGACGCCTGTCAGGTGCACTGATGTTACTCATACGATAAAAACAGTGAATAAAATCTGCCCCAAAACACACGACAAATCTTGAATAAGGACTGTAACAGACGTTTAGCTGCGTCTCATCTCCAGCTGACCTCACTGCTCTGTGCTGTTTTTATGAAAATCTCAAGGAGGAGCGCGTATCATAAAAGGACTCATATCTCTCTCACTGTTATAGATATTTCTGCTGCTATACTTTATTTCTCTGCGACAAGCGTTAGCATTACTTCATGACATGTAAACACACAGCACCGTGTGATGATGTCAATCAATCAATCAATCAAACCACCCACCCACAAACCCAACCCCCACACAACCAAACAACCCAGACACACACACAGTAACATGCTAAAATACATAAAACCGGACATAATAAAATGTGAGGCTGGATACAGGCGAACCAGTTGAGAAAGCATCATCAGAGGAGCCGTCTACACCAGGAGCAGAGAGACGTCCACCACCACCAGGAACCACCACAGGAGCCAGGGGAGAGATGAAGCCCAAGCACCAACTCTCCACCAGGAGCCCACATGACAGACCCGGCAGACCACACCCGACCTCCGCTCCTGATGCAGAGGCTCCTACAGAGGAAACACTGGAAATCCTAAAATATGCCTAAAATAAATAAATATAATAAAATGTGTACAGTAGAAACAAGTAAAAGTATAAGATTTTAATCAAAAGCTAAGCTAAAAAGGTGGGTCTTGAGCCTGCTTTTAAAAACATGATTGTTTCTTTGGCCCTGAGCTCCTCCGGCTGCAGTTCCATAGACGAGGGCTGTAGTTCTGGAAAGACGCTTCTCTCTGTGAGTGTGTGTCCTGACTTTGGGAATGAGCAGGAGCTGCTGCCAGAGGAGCGCAGGGTCTGCGAGGGTTCGTAGGGTAAAAGCAGTTCTGAAAGATAAGAAGGCCCAAGACAGTTAAGACATTTAAAAACCAGTAAAAGAACTTTAAAATCGATCCTGAAACTCACAGGAGCCAGTGCAGTGATTTTAAAACTGGTGTGATGTGGTCCCGCCCTCTGGTCCTCGTCAGGACACGTGCTGCTGAATTTTGTAATAATTGCAAACCTGAAATACTCTTTTTGGGAAGAGCAAAGAGCAGGACATTACAGTCGTCTATTCGACTGGTGATAAAAGCATCAGCGTTTCTGTGTTGGCCTGAGAGAGAATGGGGCGGACTCTGGATATGTTTTTAGGTGATAAAAAAAACATTTTTGTGATGTTCTTAATGTGTGGGATAAAAGTCAGCTCAGAGTCAAAAATGACGCCCAGGTTTTTTACTTGAGAAGATGGGTTAAAAGACTGTGCTTATAGTTTGGGTAAAAGTTTCTCTCTCTGGGCCTCAGGACCACACCAAGTCATTGGCCATGGCCCGGTTTGGTTGTGCAGGTTTGAGTGCCAAACATAGAACCCTACGCAATTGTGCTTGAGCACGGTACGGTTCTACAGTCCTAGTGTGAGTGCGCCCTCAGTCTCATGTCTCAGGTCAGTTTCTCTGGAGGACTGGTCAGGGAGGGTCAGCAGATCTGTGTCAGGGCAGTTTGAGGAGAGGAAGAGCCAACAGTGTCCCTCCTCTGTGTCCTGCAGTGTCACAGCAGCCTCCAGGGGGCGCCAGGTGAACACAACAGGATAGACCTCACTCTCACTCTGCTCTGGTGTTTCGGTTGCAGATGAAATGGTCCATTCTCTCAGAATATTTCCTCTGGAAGGTTTTCTGTCACATTTGGTGTAAAAAACCTGTAGCAGCTCAACATCTTCCCTGTAGTCCTGTCATGATGGCAAATGTTGAAGTCTGATGTATTGTTGAAGTAAATATAGATGATATTTATTCTACCGACACAAAAACATTCCAGACAAACCAATAACATCTCCACTGTGACTAAAACAAACGCCCAACTATTCCAGTCCACTCATGTGTTCAAGTGTGAGTCACTGAGTATTATTTTAGGCTTATCATATTCTTATTAAGCACGTCCTGCTGTGACGAAGAGAGAAGACGGAAACTATTTCTGGAACTGGACCTGCATCAAGAGCACCTCAGTGTAACAATATAAACTAAACAATCTGTGGCGTAATTCCCCACTGCTGTGCACTTTCTGAAAAGACAGAATGAGTTTATCCAAGTTCATTTTACATAAGAGTCCATATTACTATTTTTTGATTTATGTCATAAAGTTCCTCATCGCAAACAGACCTGGAGTTCTGTTTTGTTTCATTTGCACATTTTTAACACAAACTCTGCATATTTAGGCCGAGTTCTTCTCTCAAACAAAAAACACTCTGCTCCACCTTGTGATGTCATGCGCCACTGCGATTTTAAACTCCATAAACCTTTAGAATCATTTTGATCCGAACATCCTGTATTAACACATTTAAACCTGTTGCCCCTCGTCTCTGGAACCAATCGTCTCTTTGCTTTAGTTTTTTGGACTTACATATAGCCATACCATTATTATAACTAAATATATATTTCATGAAAAGTACGACTTATATAATATTGGCGAACTGTGGAACATGTGGAAAGACATGAAACATTTTCCAAACATGTATGATCTATTTGTGATATGAAAAATCAGGTATGCAATCTCATTCCAGTGTAGAACAGGTGTGACGCTAGAAAAGGGTGTGGAGCATTGTCTAAAAATCAAGTCAATGATCGTCAGAGCAACGGTTCCTCCCCAATCACATCCTTTTAAAAGGAGTCAGACTGAAGCAGCATCCATCAGAAAACTCACAGCTCCAGGTGTATTCGACAGGTGAACGACACGACACTGAAGCCACACCTGAAGACATGAAGACTGCACTCAAGATGCTCCTGTCCTTGGCCTTAACTGTGGCTCTGTCCATCAACACAGGTAAAATATTTTAATAATCTATTGTCCTGAATTGGTCCTGGACAAGTCATAGTTTAATCCTGTTTCCCACCTGTTTTAGTCCTGGTCTAACCTGGTCTTGTCTTTGCAGCTGCTGGACTCTCTTGCGTTACTTGTACAGACCAAAGCGACCCAAACTGTGTGTCTACAGGTTCTGTTCCCTGCACCAATGGAGAAACCCAGTGTGTCTCTGCCGTCATTACAGGTACATGTTCAAAGTTGAACAGTGACAGTTCACACAGTAGAAGCTGTTTTGTACAAACACAGAGTAAACCTGCCTCTAATTATGAATATATTTCTGATATTTTCACAGCGACCTCACCCGCCGGTTCGTCCACTCGGATAATAAAGGGCTGTGCTGACCGCAATATCTGTCCAGCTTCAGGGACCCAGGACTTTTCACTGGACGTCGGTTCTTCTAATGCTCTGGCCAAAGCTGAATGTTGTAATAACATTAACGACTGTAACTCTGCTACCCTTCCCAGTGAGTGACAGATTAAGAGACCAGTGCTTTGTCCACAGCATTGTCCAGACTTTAATAGATTGTTGTGTCTCCTGTGTCAGCTCCGGCGCCCCCTGCTGATGGATCTCTGCAGTGCTACACCTGTGACCCAGTGACAGGTTCATGCAACATGACATTAACGTGTAACACTCTGGAGAACAGCTGCTTCTCGTCCACAGGTGAGTTCTACACAGAGCTGGACACCTGCAGACACAGTTTCCATAGTAACAGTGTCATGTGTTTTGTTTGCAGTGATTCCTTCGGGCAGCTCCAGTTCAGTCCCAGCTCATGGATGTGTCTCTGGTAATCTGTGTCTGTTGTCTGCGGCTTATTTATCCTCCTCCCCTCTGGTGTCGAGCATCGGGACAATAACACAAGACCCAACCTGCTGCACCACACCTAACTGCAACCCTGTGCCTACTACTACTACTACTGCAGCCCCAACTACTACTACTGCAGCCCCAACTACTACTACTGCAGCCCCAACTACTACTACTGCAGCCCCAGCTACTACTACTGCAGCCCCAGCTACTACTACTGCAGCCCCAGCTACTACTACTGCAGCCCCAGCTACTACTACTGCAGCCCCAGCTACTACTACTGCAGCCCCAGCTACTACTACTGCAGCCCCAGCTACTACTACTGCAGCCCCAGCTACTACTACTGCAGCCCCAGCTACTACTACTGCAGCCAGCTACTACTACTGCAGCACCACTACTACTACTACTACTGCAGCCCCAACTACTGCTACTACTACTGCAGCCCCGACTACAACTACTACAGCCCCGACTACTACTACTACCACTGCAGCCCCGACTACTACTACTACTACTACTACTACAACCCCAACTACTACTACTCCTACAGCCCCAACTACTACTACTACTGCAGCCCCAAGCGCTACTAGTACTACTAGTACTACTACTACTACTACTACTACTACTACTACTACTACTGCCTCCTCAGCTGTGTCTTTGGTGAGATTGAGCTTGGTCCATTCTCTTCTGGGACTCATCCTGATGCTTCTGTTTTAACTGAAACACAAATGTGTTGAAGTTCTTGTGTTTTACAGTTTGTATTATTCTTTGTGTATGACATGTATTTAAGAAACTTATA